GCGACAACGACCAAAGATCATGCGCAGCCGCAGTCACAGTATCTGCCAGGAAAGTCTTTTACTGCCTTGGTGTGTGGTTGCCGCAAGAAAATAATGCGCAGTGCTTCTTACCCAGCGAGCTTGACTTCTAGTTCACGTGGGTGCTTACACTGCCACCATACCAACTTGTGAAATGCTCTTGGAGACATTTTGGTCAACTGCAAAAATGTTGGTACCTGAAGTACCGTGGAGGTTTGCACATGCTCTGTACAGGAAGGTATCTATATACTATCCTTTTGTATTGAGAATGCTAGAGGTGCAAGAGCAGGTGGCTCCTTTTTCCCGCTTGTTCACTCTGTTTTACTGGAAGTCACACAGTCCATTTGGAATTCAAATTGCTTCCGTTGAAATTGACTTCTAAATCCTAAATTGTTTGTCACCGTATCCCGTGTTGTTGCAGCAGTGCAGCCGCAGAAGCATTGACAACAAGTCTATGCATTCTGGCTTCTGCGGAGAAAAACAGCGAAAATGAATCCCTTCCGCTAAAATATTGGATACACACACAGTTTAATATTGGATCTTTTCATGACTTGGGGGTTTCTTTTCGGGCGCATTTCATAGGGCGAACGGATAGCAGATCTGAGGTGCTGCGCTTTCACCTCACGGTTGGAACTGTACGTTGTGGGCCGTGCTGTCCTCGGCCGGATCTGGTGGGTTTATATCCCAACTTTGGGGTCATAAAACATCATAAGACCATGTTTATTTCATGTTTATTTCATGTTATATCAGTTATATCCATGAAATTCCATTGAGAACCCCAACCGCACCAAGTAGGGTTTCTATTTGTAAGAACTTCGGTCGCGAGCATAACGGCATATGCAGGTAGATAAGATGCCGGGCCCTGCTTGGGCTTCTCTTGGTACCACAAAATCATACAAAGTCCTATGGTTTATTGCTACAAGGTGGGGCAAGAACTCGTTTTAGGCCAAACCTCCGTATCATGCTAATATGTTGAAGGTTACATATCCTATACAATATCGGATATATATATAATATACATATCGAATATCCCATTAATTAAATGATCAAATAAATATAAACTACTCCTATAGCATATCCCCATTACCTGCCGAGGTTTACCTACGATTATGCCGAATGCGCAGTGCATGGATGTGAAGATTTCAACATTGACTGGCTGAAGGAGGCCTAGCACTTTGCTGGCTGGAACTTCATGGCTGGGGAACATCCCCAGTCCCCATGGGAATTTCCCATAAAAGTTACTTAAATTGAAGAATAAACTATCCCATAGGATCCATGTATGGTATATATGGTAACATGGATCCCATCAATATACCCCCAATGTTAGCATATATACCAGCACCATGGATCCTATGGGTATTGACATATGACAGCTTTTGGTTGTATTCTACGTTTTTGTTGGGTCCTATTTGTTTTTGAGCCCATATATTTCTTGGATCACCTGGCCACCAACGTTCACGTGCCCCCAACGTTCACGTGCCGCTGTCAGATCGACGAAGTCACGGAATGCCTTCGTGTTGGGGTCGAGATCTTGGACGTGGTCGATCCTGCTGATTGCCCGAGAACCTGGACGTTAAAAAATGGTAAACGCAGAAACGCTGAACCACTGTTGGATGTGGGATGTGGATATTCTTGGGTTAATTGCTGCTTTTTGTACTGTACAATCTATAATATAATACATTATAATACATTATAATTAGGTTCAGATAGACAACGCACAACCAAAATTGATGGTGTTTGCAAATGCATACATTCCTACATCCTCCAAGGGATGTCCAGCAGGCCCTCAAGGACCACGGGACCATCCTAGGTCCTGCGGAGCTGTTCGTGCTGCCATCAAATGGTTCGCACAGGACGAATGGCCTTCAGATTTAGTCACAAAAATCCACAGGAAACATCTGACTGTTGTTCATGGTGGTTTTTCGAAACACTGATATTGGATTTTTCGCTATAGATTTTCTCTTCAATTCTGGGAGAGGTCAATCAAAGGTCTTCCCTCCTAAAGTGTTTGCAAGCAACTAGTGTCATCCCTTGCTATGCCTAGAAGCGAAGCATCGTTGCTGTGAGGATGTGCCGAGATGAGTCGTGACCTTAAAATCTCTTGAAATACTTACAACAGTTATCCTGGGCCGTGACCAGGGAAGGCAGTGCAAAACTTGTGCTTCAAGGTTTTTTGTTTTGCAGGGATGCCTAGACAAAATGTGTGTTTCCTATGTTTATTCATTTTCTGTAAAAGATGGGGCGCCTATATGTTTAGTATAATGTTTATCATGAACATGTCTTTTTTTTGGGTAGAGTCAGAGTGATTATAGTTTCCCATTAAAATCACCATTTGGGGATAGAGCTTCCCATTAAAATCACCTAAAATTTGGGATATACTTACCATGATATACCATTTTATACCTTTTTTTTTAACTATTTTATACCATTTTATACCATGATACCCAATTTTCAGATCCACTGATCCACTCTTTTTCTTGACAAATTGACAAAACCTCAGAGATATCGCCAAGGCCCAGCCTTCGGTCACCAGAAGGAAGGCGTGCTTTCTACGACACATTTCCAGGTTTCCAGGTTTTTCTAGCCTCTGGTAATGACTAACAAAAAACTATGGAACGATCCACCATGCTATTAATGAGAAAATCCACTATTTCGATTGGGCCATTTTCAATAGTAAACTGTTTATCTGGTGAGTATTTGGGCGTTGCTATAGGTCATGATGACGACAGGCCAAGCTCGTGCCGCTGATGAAGTGCCATAGGTCCAAAACAACGACGGACCGCTCTTTTTGGCTCAACGGAATTGAGGTCATGATGAGCCTTGATCGTAATATGAGGGTTTCCATAAATGGGGGTACCCCAAATGCTTGGTTTATAATGGAAAATTATAAATAAATGGATTTTTTGGTGGTACCCATATTTTAGGACCCCCCCCCATATAACACCATTGGAGGGGGCAGAGAAGCACAAAACGAAAGTCTGAGTGGAGGATGTGGAGGATTACTAAGTTGGTTTCAAGTCTCGGAACATCAAGAAAATGGTGCAAATTTTCTCCATTCAGGGTGCTGGTAAGCTGTAAAGAACTATATATACAAGTATAATGATAAAAGATTATGTATACAGGTACTGGTGTCATCTGGGGTCCACCTAAGTACCCTTTCTATCCCTTTCTCATCAATTTCGACAGCGTAACATGAGAAGGGCCATCCACTGCAAAGTTTTCGCATCCATCTTTGCGGCATTGAGAGCCATGTCGCTCTGCCAAAAACAATGGACTTGGAGTTGATAGAATGTCTCTGTCAGGCTTGCTGGGACATGTCCGGCACGACATTTGAAGGTTTGAATCATCAATTAGACCTGTTTGTTGCACCAGCAAGATGCAGAAAGTGTGCTGCGTCTGCGTATACCTGATACACCTTGACACTGTGGGCATAGAAGTCTCTCGCATGTTCACATATATCAGAGCTGATCTATTAGATGGAGGATTTGTCTCCTTTCACTAGGCACTGGCAAGAGACAGCCTTTATTCCTAGCTTCAGGGTCGGCAGGTTGTGAAGCATCTCATGTGATGTCTGATCATAGAGGACTTCCATGGAATGAGAAGATGGCTGTGACTCACACCCAATAAGCTCAGTCCATGCCATGGACCCATGGCATATATATTTCCCTCCGAAAATTGCGCAGTGATGTGAGAAATAGAGGGTTTAGTTGTGTTTCCATACAAGGAGCTATATAATAGACTAATAGATTGAATCTGGCGCAGGCATGCGCAACATCTAGAAACAATGTGCAGGTCAAAACTGGTCAGTTTACTGGGATCAGTCGTGGGATCAAAACTGGGTGATCAGTCGATGGTTCAATGACCATTGGCACATTGGGATATGCCAGGAGATTGCCAATGCTCTCCAAGATCTCGAGCCATCCCACAAGGCACTACTGTCACTAGTGGTTAGCCAGATGGAATGGAAGCGAATGAACCAAATATGTACACGTCAAGTTTTTTCAGATTTCCAAACCTATCATATGTTTTGATGTGTTTGGTTCATGTTTTTGAATGGACTTCAGGACAGTGAAATTGAAATGTTAGGCTTGTCCGATCTGCTCAGGATTCAACATCCAAAAAAAGCCACCAGCTTTGCAATGGAAGACATCAGATTCTGTGAATACACCGATTTCTGTCCTCATTCCCAATTACACATATCATGTCAAATTCATGTCATATATATATATATATATTATCATTACCTCAAAAACATATTATATATGATCAGTTGTTTAAATCTGGGGGTCTGTTTATGTCTGTCTTATTATATATGATCACTGGGATGTTTTTCACTGGGACAAACTTGGGGCAGCGACAAGTCGCAAGCTTCGACCAACTACTCGACCAAGGCGGCTTTCGATGGGCGAGCACTTCTACTTGGCAGCCAGCCAGATGGCGGGGATGGGTTACCTGTGATCCACAGCTGGTCATGTTGAACGTTTGGACTTTGTAGGATCTTTAAACATTTTCATTTTGTTAGGTTGATGAATTTGACCATACACTGGTGCACAGGTTTCAGAATCTGCCACTTTTCAAGCATATATTTAGTCGTTGTCCAACCATCCTTGACAGCTCTTGCCGTTGAAATCTGCCAGCTGAGCATGGCAACTTCGCCGTGGATTGAATACAACGGTTGTGGCAACATGTGGCAACTCTGTCCGGTCAACTCCTTTCACAGAGCTCCGCCACCACCGCCCTGCAGTTGATGCAGCGGTGCCGCTGCTGACGGAAAGGTTGAATTGCCAGCGGGCAACGGAGGGTGCCAGGACAGGGGCCAGCGCGGGGGGAGGATTTGCTATTTAGATGACTCCAGAAAATCACTAGTTTGGGGCGTAGTCCACATTTCCGAGTTTCCAAATATATACAATATGCTAAAGTATGGTTATTAATGTTTATTATTCGAATCGGATTGTAGCCTATACTACTTTCCGGTGAAACACATGGCTGGACATGGCTGGACCGGAAGGCCTTCCGTGCCCATCCTGGATGTGCTGGACTCGGCCAGTTACGCAGTGCTAGGCACAGCTGACGGCTGCAGCCAACCATGAAACATCGCGATAACTTTAGATAAGCTATAAATAATACTGTGAATATAAGGATTCTAAGCTATTATATTGTTGGTCAAAATCAGGATAGTGATAATGATGTAAAGCCAATCAAATGCAGGGTTATGACAAACAAATGAACAATTCTTTGGGGTCTATTGGCAGATGGGATCTATTGGGACAGCATGTTTGATCCCAAGACAATATCTCCTTCATCTTCTGTTTATGATAATCATCAGCCTGGCTATAGACTTGCAATGGGATCAGTAGATGAACAATCCTGCCGAACTCTGATGGCAGGATCAGAAGAGCCAGTGCAGCCTCTTGAATGCAGGACACAACCATGCATATGGCATGCATATGGCTTTGTGGGTTCATGCCATAGACTAATCAAGAGGGGATCAAATTCACAAACGGCTTGACCAATCAACAAGCGCAATGGTTTAGAAATACATCTTCCGTGGCAATACTTTGATATATCTGTACAAACCTAGGTTTCTGCACAAAAAAGCTACGCTAAACTAACATTGATGGTTTATCCTAATCGTCTCTGAATAGTTGCAAATTTGGGGTACAACCAATAGATCCACATCTGGAAATACACATGGCTGTCGCAAAAAGCATCTCCAAGGGACTCCCAGAGCTTTGACTATGTGATCTGCTTGGAGTTGTTGGACGGCCTGAGCGTGAAGGATCGGCCTGGCTGCTGGGAAGCCTTTCAGCGATGCCGGCTTTTTTCGGTGGATATAGTTGGATCCAGCTAGTAAGCTGGACAGTTATTTGTTGAGAAGTCTGTATGTTGATTTCTCATGGAATATGCAAATCTTAGATATCCTAGGCTAGATATATTTAGATCCCAAAGAACTATGATGTAACCATGTGGAACAATATGGAACATGCAAAGACATTGCTGCCTTTGTCCGAACTCCAAGGGCTTTTAGCATCGGTCTTCTGCGACTCCTGCAGATGTTCCCTGAAATCAGTCCATGTGTTGTACTTCTGCTGGTCAATATCCTATGTTTAATGGTTAAACCCTAAATAATCCATGTGAATAAATACACATTAATATATATATATATATATACATAAACATGAGTCCAGTGATGCTTTGCCCATTGAAAACCCATTAAGAGCCATTGACACCATTAAACACCGTTGAAAACCACTGAATGTATCTGAACGTCATTAAAGACCATTAAGAGCCATTAAAGACCACTAAGAGCCGTTAAACACCATAAAACGCCATTGAAAACCATTGAAAACTGTTAAAAACCCGTTAAGAACCAGTTTGAAACACGTTAGAAAAAGGGCCTTCTCTTTTCGGACCCGGAGATCGGTCCTGCAGGACCTTTCCAGTGCCTGTAATGCCACACTGGCCACATTGCGGCCTGGGGGCTTGGCAATGCTCCTTGGCTGATGATATATATATATATATACACACATATATATATATATAATGTACGTGTATATATATATATAATTATATGTTGTTGTTTTTTTATATATGTCATATGTGCCAGGTACGTGTCATCCTATTTTGTAGCTTATTTACAATATATTATGATATCGTATGATTATTACCTTTGTCTTTCTCCTTACTTTGTCTTGGTGATTGCATCACCATACCCAAACGATGTATTCTGGTTTCAATGGGATGATTCTGTGTTTTTATCCTTCAGACCGACCACGGTAATCCTAATTTTCACTGGCTAGATCACGATTTTCCAATTTTTGGGTTAAGTCCTGGCCAGTCCACAGTTTTGAAATCATCATTTAAGTTTGATGCTTAATCTTTTCGTCCCTATTTGAATGGTTCATGTTGGATTTTTGAGCCCCCTGAGGTTCGGGTGCCATGTTTGGGTCATGTTCCTTTATTGATGTGCACAAGAAAAAAACAACCCCCACTGTGGACGGGTTACATCCCCCGAGGTTCGTCTCCGAGGAGCCGGAGGCCTTCGGCTCGCTGAAGCGCGCCATGCGCGGCCTGCGGCCCTCGGCGGAGGAGCGGCTCGGCGTCCGGCGGGTCACGGAGGAGCTGCGGATCCACGTCTATCGACGGGCGCAAGGAGAGAATGGGGATGGGGAAACCAGGAGATTGGGATTTTCATTATTTTCATTGATATTAGATGTACTGTATGACTACAAATTTGTGGGTTGATCGGAAGTCGATCGTGGTTATGAGTCAAAATACTGTATATATACACATTCTTGGGGTGGCAAGGTATGGGGTTGTAGCATTAAACGTGGGAATCTGACCCAGTTCTTGATGGGAACCCAGGAATGGTAAGTGAAGTGGTTATGAGTCTCCAACTCATTGATAATTAAACATTGTATTGAGTAACTGCAAACATGTGTTGGTATGTGGCTACAAACTGGACAGACCAGTTATAGTTATAGTTATATACATGAGTTCGTATCAAACTAGTGATTGCAGCGCCATGGGCTCAATCAAGCTGTCGTAAGTCGTGGTTTCAGATGTTTCAGCACAAAATTATCCAGAAACACCCTTATTGCACATGTTTCTGCAATGTTTTTGTTTGATCTTCTTTGTCCATGCATAGTAATGCATAAATCTATGATGATATATATGGGATGAAGATATGGTACCCCTAAATCCACTAGTTGATCACTGGCTCGGCAAGGAGCTGACGCCAGCGAGAGCAAAGCTCCAAGCAGTTCCTATCCAGCTGGTTGGGGTCAGTGGCAGAAGGCACCTTGCTGCGCAGTTTCGTTCAGAAATTGCGATGTCTGAGAGCGGTGGAGTTATCCCAGGATCCCATCGTTGATCATCGTTTTTTCCCCTTTAAACCGATTTAAACCGATCACTTGATGGGTCTCCCTGCACAGCCAGGGCTGGGTGGAGCCGGCTCGGCCCAACCTGAACATCGCCAAGATGTTGCGGCAAGGCACCGCAGCTTCCGTCGACACCGAAGGCTCAAGCCAGGAGCCCAAGGAGTGGCACCTCGGCAATGGTTTGGCATGGGAAATCTCCGAAGCAAATGGAGATGTCATGGGAAAATCCTCGATTTTCCATTGCCAATAAAATAAGAAGTTTCATATGCTGTCCGCAGGATGGGATTGTGCAATCATCAATGTCCATGATAGTATACGTAGGTTTATGTCCACCTCTATAGCTTATTCATGCTTATTCTAATGTTTTTTAAACTTGAAAAAAAAGCAAAAAAAAGGAAAACACATGGAAAATCAAAAAGCAAAACTTCAAAACCGAAAAAAACAGGAAGCAAAATAAATGGGAAAAAATGGAACGTCAAAAAGGGTGAAAAATGGGAAAAAATGGACTTGTCCATTTGCATTTTTGTTGCTTTTTTTTGCTTTTTCGATTTGCTTTTTTTTTGCTTTTGTTTTGCTGTTTTTTTGCTTTTGCCTGGAAAAATGCAAAAAAACAACATAAAAGCAAAAAAAAACAAATCGAAAAAGCAAAAAAAAAGCAACAAAAATGCAAATGGACAAGTCCATGTTTTTCCCATTTTTTCCCCTTTTTGTCTTTCCTTTCTGTTTTCTTTTTTTCCCTTTTATTTTGCTCTTGTGTTTTTTGGATTTTGCTGATGTGCTTTTTGGTGTTTCCATTTTTTGTTGCATTTCTCGCGCTTTTTTTCAAGTTTTAAAAAAATAAGAATAAGCTATGGTTTGGTGAACATAAACGTAGGTAGGATTCAAAACTGGGTGGTAAATCATCGAAAACGGAATGTAACATGACCTAACATGGTTTTACCATCATGAAAGAGGACTGTATAACAAACATAATGATCCCGTTCAAGTACCCTCCGCTAATTTCACACGGAAAATGCTCCATTGTCACTTATGATTTTCCGTTATGTTGAATTACCAGATGGGTAATTACTTGGTGGCTCATCCCACTTAGTAAGTAGGTTATAACCCCAGTTATAAATGGGATAAGTAGGGTTAATCCACTTATAACTGGGGTTATAACCCACTTACTAAGTGGGATGAGCCACCAAGTAGATAAGTCAGAATACCCCTAATTTTTGAACCTGAACGGATCCAAGGCATTCCAATACTAAACCATGGTTTCTACGGGTTGCCATGGGGGGGCAGGGATTAGAAAAAAACCCGAAACAGGATGGCTGAATATTTGCCCATGGGGTACCCCATGTTTGAGCTGTGCTCATTTTGGATTCTGTCGTGGATAAGTTAATAAGGAGGCAGGTTTGCAACTTTCCAGCTGCTTGGTCAGACCGAGTGTTTGCTGTCGGGTTTTATCTCCAGCTTGGCTGGTTTAATGAAAATGGTTTGTTGACAACTATAATATCTATAATAGTAGACCATTGGTCATTCCGGATAAATGTAGCGCTCAGCCACATTTGCCATCGCTCTTTGAGGATATCAGATGCTTTGCAGCTAGTCTGCAGCTCAGCAATTTGATGTGTCTTGATCTTGGCAGTTTCCTGGATTCCGGTGTCACATGGGACCACACAGCGACATCCTGAATCCAGTATGGCAATGTCCATATCATAGACAGAAACCATCAGATTTAGTCAGGAGGTAAGATGATTAAGGTGCGATAGAGTACTTCCCCCATTTTCCAAAAACATCTGGATCCCCCAAACAAATTGCCAACATCATCCCAAAAAAATATCCTCCAACCTCCAGGGTTTCCTCATCATCTCCCAGGTCCTGTTGCCTTCCAAGGGCCGAGGCCTGGTGCTCTCGCGCTCCGTCAAGGCTGGAGAGTTGCTGCTGGTGTCCAAGGCGCTGTTTCTGGCGCCGGCGGATCAGATTCAGTACCTGGGACGATCGGAGCTGTGAAACAGATGGAATGGGTGTTTTTTTTGATGGTGATATCTGATATTAATGGTAATATAGTGATACAGATTAGATTAGATGAATTAATTGTGATCATTGTGATCATCTGATGTTGATAACTTTGATAATTATGATACTATTGATATTTATGATAGTTGTGACTATTATGATAATCATGATAATTGTGATAACCACGTGTTTATTCTAATTTCAAGATGAATCCATGATTGTTGACATGAATTGCATCCATCGTCGACAAGTCTGATGAGTGTGATGAGTTAATGATTTGACATCTTCGGACTGGTCCGGCTGATCACTTAAGAATTGCCAGAGTCGTTTTGACCTCCGGATGTTTCGCCCCCGGATGGTTTGTCCCAGAAAAAAGGGAAGAATCCAGTGGTTTGTCATTCTGTTCCCCATGAAGCACTGGATTTTTCCAGGCTACTTGGTGGCTCATCCCACGAATCGTAAGTGGGTTATAACCCCAGTGATTGAAGTGGATTAACCCTACTTATCCCATTTATAACTGGGGTTATAACCTACTTACGAGCCGTGGGATGAGCCACCAAGTATCCCTCCATTCTTGGACCGGCTCAAGGCAGCTGGCCCTGAGCTGGCTGTTGGAAGCTACACCGCGAGAGAAGCAGCAGCTCTACTCGCTGTACGATGGCTGCAACGGTCCGGAGCGCCATTCGCATTAGCGGAAGCCATGGTGGGGATGGTGGAATCTTCTGCACAGTGGTGCCCCGTAGATAGCTAGACTATACTATTATAGCTATAAATATGATATATATATATATACATAGTAGGCTAAAATATGGTTTATCGTAGATATGTCGATAATGAAAAAAGGGTTTCGGTTTCTGCATAATCCTTAACTTGTAACTGGCGGGCACCGCACCGAAAAACCCTTGGTTTCCCGCGGTTAGATCCCGGATTGAACCTTCATATGGTGGGTTATCTGTCTTGCCGCCATTTTTTGCTGCCAAATTTTCACGTTTGCCGATTGCATGGACTGTTTTGTAACCCAGTTTTTGCATGTTTTTGATCTCACGTTGTTTGAATCTCTGCTAGTCGTTGGTTGCTCTCTCCTATTCTCTTGGTTGAAGCTTCACTTTTTGTTGGTTAAATCCCATTTTGCTCCTGTTGAGTTTGAATGTGTTGCTTTTCAAAACCCCTCATCAGCTCGCCAATCGATTCCTATCGATTCCATCGTTTCAAGGTGACAGCCTTCCGTCACTGGACCTCTATCGCCCAGCTGATGCGGTACCAGTGGCAGGTGGGAAGGTTTTGGTTCATCACTAATCGGAGAACTTCCCAGTGTTGAGCTTAGATCAATTGAATCTGAAGACTTTTTATCATCATCCCAGTGATATCATGTGATATCCAGTGCCAAATCTGAGTAGGAGAATCTCTAGTTGAACTTCAATCAATGGAATCAATGACCTTTATGACAAGATCGAAGCTTCCAGGTGTTAGCTGTCCCGAGCGTATGGACCCCGAGCGCATCTACCAGATCCTGGCACTGAACGGCTTCCAGGCCACCTTGATGGCTTGTCATGAATGATCCCCGATACTATCTGGTACATGTAAGAACCATTTCAGAACTTATTTATACCATATTTATACCATATTTATACTTGATAGGGGATGGATTGGTCTTATCTATACCATTTTATCCCATGAAAATCCAATGGATTTGATCCATCCCGTGGTGTTTTTGATCGCGACATTTTTGAGGCGGATAAATTCCACGCGGCCAGCGCGACCGACCCTGGCAAAGCCAAAGATATGCTGCGACTTGGCGACATGCCATGGTGGGAAACAGAACAGGCGATCATCAGATGATCATTTGGTAAAATTGGTAAAATGCCATACAGAACTAGCAGTTGGGGATGTTTTATATGTTTTACAAGCCAATGGAAATCTTGGGGATTGGTTGTTACTGTACTGGGTTTGCCACATTACTGTAGAAATGATGGTTAGGATTGCGAGTAACTATCTCTGGCATGAAAAACAGGGTGAACTATGATGAAATCTATGCAGATATGGGGAATGTCCCGGGATGTTCAGAAATGCTGATTGGTCTGTTTCAATTACAGTATCTAAGTATCTACCTTTTAGATCCTTCTAGCACCAAAAAGACTAATTGAATCGCAGCATGATCAGCATGTTTGCGCCTCCTCTGAGGAATAGAAAGGAGGATGAGAATGGCACAGCAGTCTCTGGTCTTTGGACAGTGCCGTCCCTCATGAATCATGTACCTCGCCTGCGGAGCCCCCAAGAAGGGTAGAACAACAAGCTGAATGAGAATTGGTTTGCCAGACTCAATAATTACGTTAACTCCGTTCTTTTATGCTAAACATGAATAAGTATCGGACTTATTGGACATATGCCAGCACTTTCTTCTTGAAGTCAGGTCGGGTTGACAGAGCTCGGACTGACACAAAAACAAGGTTTCGGATACTCCCAAAATGGCTCAACAACGAAGGACTATTTCTGAATCTGGATTTGACACATGTCCCGATTTAATACATCCTCATTTGCCACCAATGGCTTTCCAACTCTCGTTTCAGTTCCAAAAACAGTACGCAATCACCTCCCTCCAATATGAACTACTAAAAACTAAAACCCTCGAAACCTTCACTTAGTATTGGATTGCTATGGATTGCTGTTCATTATGTTGCTATGAAACATATATATAATATTGCTATATACTATATACGTATATATATATATTATTATATTATTATATATATTACAATGAAAAGGACATAAACAACATATCATGAGTTCCAATCCCGGGACCCGGCCGCTGCTCCTTTCGTGCGACCTGACACCAAGGCGTGCATCCCGTCCACGGTGGCTGTTCCTTTGACCAAAGCCAGCCTGGCATTTCTGGCGGCCACTCAGCGAAAAAACGACTTCGGAAGGACGAAAGATTTCCAAGAAAAAGAATGAGGTTAGGTTGTGGCCACCCTGCTTAGAGAGTTATCATATCGATGATGATGATGATTATTATTATTATTCATTCATTTTTTGGATACAACAGCATCTACCATGATTATCAGATAATTATCATATGAAATCAGTATGATCCTATTGACTTGTCAAAGATCTTGGCACTTGTGCCTGGCGAAGTTGCCCAGGCTTACGATCTGCCAGCAGGTGCAGAGGTCACCTTGCGCTACTGCAACCTGTCGACCCTGCAGAGAATGTGCTGTTCATATCTGTTCATGTGGTAAAGCCAATGCCATAAACCATCCCCAACAGAGTCTTTTGTTATTTATGAAATAGGGTATGCCGTATACCCCTTTTTGGGCTGATGCAACATGTGGCCCAATGAGTCAAGAAAATATATACCTTAGCACTTTGATAAAAAATGTCAATCCAATCATCCAAAGTGCCAAACGCTCAGACTCTTTGGAGCCAGCGAAGTCATTTTCTGCTGCTTTTGCCAGCGAAAAACGCCAGCAGCTCCCCGGGCCATTGATTCTCGCCATGACTTTCGGCCTCAAATGTGGCCTGCTGCTGCTACTTCTGTCCACGAGTTGTGCCCAAAAGGCACCCAAAAGTTCAACGTATAGAACGAAAGGAGTGTATGAAGGCTTCATCACCAACATGTCATTCTGACTTATAAAATAATCTAACAATCATTTTCGGAGGCCTATTTGTTTTGGTATTTTTTTTGCGGCAGGTTTTGGAATTATTTGTGGGTTCCTGGTTATGCTTTCCTGCTTCTCTGCTTTTCTGCTTTTTGCTTTTCCTGCTTCTCTGCTTCTCTGCTCTTCTGCTTTTGTGCTTTACCTGCTTCTTTTCTTTTCTGCTTCTCTGCTTTCCCTGCTTTTCTGCTTTTGTGCTTCTGTGCCTTTCTACTTCTACTATTCTACTTTTTCTTTCTTCAGGCATGTGTTTTTGTTGCTCTACTTCCTGCTCCTCTGCTTTTCTGCTTCCTGTCTTTACTGCCTCTCTGTTTTTTCTTTTCTTTTGCTTTACTCTCTCCTGTTTGTAAACACCCTAGGTGAAACCCAAAGAAACGTTACAGAAATCCTGATAAGAACTCCTGATAAGAAACCCTACATGAAACCTAAGTGAACCCTAAAGAAACCATAAATCCCTAAAGAAACTTTTAATGAAACCCTCAATGACATCCTAAAGAAACCCTAAACGACACTCTAAAAAACCCTAAATGAAACCCAAAAGAAACCCTAAACGAAACTCTAAAGAAACCCTAAACCTAAAGAAACCCTAAATGAAACCTGAAATGAAACCCTAAATGAAACCCTAAGAAACCTTAAAGAAACCCTAAATGAAACCCCAAATGAAGTCCTAGAGAAACCTTAAATGAAACCCTAAATGAAACCCTAAAGAAACCCTAAACGAAACTCTAAAGAAACCCTAAACCTAAAGAAACCCTAAATGAAACCCTAAAGAAACCCCAAATGAAACCCTAAAGAAACCCTAAATGAAACCGAAAGAAACCCTAAATGAAACCCTAAAGAAACCCTAAATGAAACCCTAAATGAAACCCTAAAGAAACCCACCATGAACGTGTGGAAATCATGATAAGAAACCCTACATGAAACCCTAAACGAAACTCTAAAGATACCCTAAACCCAAAGAAACCCTAACTGACACCTGAAATGAAACCCTAAATGAAACCGAAAGAAACCCTAAATGAAACCCCAAAGAAACCCTAAATGAAACCCTAAAGAAGCCCTAAAGAAACCCACATAAACGTTTGGAAATCCTGATAAGAAACCCTACATGAAACCCTAAATGAAACTCTAACTGAAACTCTAAAGAGACCCTAAAGAAAGCCTAAATGAAACCCTACATGAAACCCTAAATGAAACCCTAAAGAAACCCTGAATGAAGCCCTAAATGAAACCCCAAAGAAACTCTCAAGAAACGCAAATGAACGTTTGAAGTACCAAAATGTAGGAAATACATGGAAATACCATGCAAATGAGAGGGTGAAGTGCCAAAACGTTGCAAATACCATGCAAAATGGAAGGCGAACATGGCCGAATGTAGGAAATACCATGCAACATGCAAAGTGACCATGTCAAAATGGAAAAAATACCATGCAAAATGACAGATTCTAGTTCCAAACTGTTGCAAATACAAGGCAGATGGTACCAGAAAAGAAAGCCAACAAAAATTCCAAAACCTGAGCCAAAAACAAATCCCAAAACTATTCTGCACCCACAATTTTCTTCCAAAGTTTCCAAATAACAACAGTAACAGCAGTAATTATTTTACTCCACCATTTTCTGTATCTTTTCAAGCGCCTTTGGAACTCTGCCCCGCAGGCCCAAGAGGAGACGGTGACCTTTTCGTTGCGGGATTACACCAACCTGTACCGAAGCTTGGAGCCGACCAAGCATGGCGATTTCACCCAGCAAACGCGGGCTTCAGCGACCAAATTCCTATAGGTGAACCAAAAAAGAAGTGCTGAAACACCATTTTTGTATACCCTCTGGTAAACTAACATAACTATGGAAAATCACCAGTTTTAATGGGAAAATCCACTATAAATGGCCATTTTCAATAGCTATATGTTAAATTACCAGAGGGTAAGTGATACACCATGTTTGTGTAATGCATAAAGTGGACATATCCTGTAAGTGGCGATCGGAGCGAATTGCAGGATGTTGACAGAACATGGTCAAAGATGTGGGTTTGACAGGCCACTCATCATTGGAATGATGAGAATGCCATGAGAAATCTGTCGTCTGGCTTCCTTAGAGAAAAATCAACAAGCAAGCATGCAGATCAAACATCCAAAGCGCTACCTTCAAGCATGCACTGCATAAATTTGGCTCAAGCCTTTTTGCTTTGTAAGTGCGCACCCGCTGTTCCAGCTGTGTAGAACCGTGTCGCCGATGATTGTGAGGCCAAGTGCTGGAGCAATGTGCATCATCGCCTCACTGTCTGCTCCTATGGTAACTGCCTACTGTGATCACACCACCGAACATGATTGCCTTCATGACAAGACCGGGAGCCTATTCTACATCTGCAACTGGTGCCATTCTGCACCATTTGGTCAGCAGTGCCAAGAGGTTTGGCATGACGACGCTGGCCATTGTGCAGCCGGTGCCGACGATTGCGTGACCTGTCGATCTGCAGTCTCTAATTGCATGTATGACGCCGGTTGCGACGAAGTTCCGGCCCATCAAGGTGAATGGCTCAGTTAGCATCAAGGAGAACGGCAAATTGGGAAGTTCCTATAGCATGTTCAGCTGCTCATCAGTCTCGGTAGGACCAAGGGAGACAAGCTTCCTGGCCTTTGAGCCTTAGAATCTTAGAGACTATGAGAGAAGCACAGGAAAAAAATGCCGGTGGCAAGATTCTAATTCCAGGTCCTCTCTATACAGTATACAACTACAGTCAACTACATACAACTTAAATGTACCCTCTACAGACTACACTGTTTGTTGTTGCTATAGTTGTTGTCCACATACCAACTGGAGCGTGCACATGCCTCGTTTTCCTTTATGTGATACTCCACGGCTTCAGGGTTGTTTGCCGGCCAATGATAGGCATTCCGCGCGCTTGCAAGCTTGCCCACCTATAGCGGTGCTTATGTTTCAAGCGTGGAACGCCGAGGAAAGGCCGAACTGAAAGACTTGCAGCGGCAGATGTCAGCTGACCAAGCAAACTTGGAGAAGGAAAATGAGGCCATCGCCCACCCGAGTCTGCAAGAAGTTTTGATTGTGTAAAATACATTAAAATATAACAGGGATAAAAGAAAATAGCGCCTGAAGATTGCTACTAGTTGTCCTCCTGCTTTGCTGAACAAGTTCCGTTGCTTCAGGAAATTCAGCTAGAGAGGGAGAGAGACACACAGAGGGAGACAGAGAGGGGAACAAACAAAGCAGACAGCAACACAGCCTATCTTAAGTTTGGGCTTTGAATTGGTGCTGTGCATGCAAGAACAGCATGGCATGACCAGTGCAAGATGTTGGCAGTCTCAAGGGATTTCGTCTCCGTCATCTTCCATTGTTTGAGTGTCTCCTCCATCTTCGCCGCCATGCTTTCACGTTTGCGTGCAGGTAGACATACATCCAGGCAAACTTGTAAATACGCCTGCATGTTTCTTTGAGACATTGCTTGTTGTTTGCCTTTGGTTGCCTCCTCCATTGTGTTTCAACAGTGCGTTTACCACCGGGGAAGCTCAACAACGCGCCCCGAAGGGACAGCCATTGACGGCCGGCCAGGCGCTCTTGAACAAGCTTCGGAACGGCCAAGCCGAACGCCAGCACCGCCGTGAGGCCGGGAGCGGATTGCTGAACCACGGGGCACTTTGATTTGTGGGGCATAGAAACACCACAATGAAACTGGAAGCAGGTACGTACACCTAATTTTGGAGCTATTTAAGTCAAAGGCAAGCATGGTATGAGCTAGAAGGGTTTAGCTCACTACTGACTAATCAAGGCATCTTTGAGCTGTTCAACAGATGAGTTTCCCAAGCGATACATTGCAACCGCTGAGGTCTTACCACAGAATTGGCAACTTCTGAGCCACGAAGCACAAGGCGCATTCTCCAGGGTGTCCCATAGCTAGGAGGCAGCTAGGAAGGCAGGAAACAATGTGGTAAACCCAATAGGAAATCACACCCAATATCACCAGAACTGGGTGGTAAAAAAACCCAAAACCGGAGGTTTATTATTGGGTCTACACATTACTAGTTTTAGATGTCCCCTGATCGGCTCGCGGGAGGTGAATGCCAGTTTCGAAGTGGCCAAGAGCGAGCTCCAGCGACCTACAATTTTACCCTGGAATTTCGTGTGTTCGAAGATGAGTGGACTGTAGCTTGGATCAGTATGGATGGTTCTGGCAAATGTGCATGACATGTATTAATTCATGAGATTGGTAAATGTATGTGTATATATATATAATTATACGATTATATATTTAGATTGCACGTCAATCATTAGTCATTTCAAATCCATGCGAATCCCGGAAGTTCCACATGTTTTTCGGAAAATTTGTGTGTCTCAGTTCAAGCTCGGTTTCCTCTACTTCAGTTGGCTATTCTCTACCAAACAAACCCGGAGGCGATTCGGCTCATTGACGCGCAAACCATCGTCAAAAATTGGTCGATCTCTAGGAGATCGGCCAATCATTCAGATCCCTGGCTTTGCCGAGTGGACATTTTTTGTGTTTCTTCCGTTGTTCATCATTTTCTCGTTGGTTCATACTGATTCCATGTTCATCAAAGAGAAATTCTACTTGGATTTGTTTTTTGAAAGGAATATCCAAGAAAATATCTATATCTATATCTATATATATATATATGATATATATATATATATATACATTAGAATGCAGATTCCACGTAAAACACCCTTGAGTATGTACAGTTTTACTCATTCATTCCATGTCAGTCTTACTAATGTGTACTTTCTCATTTTGCCGTTCCGGCGACTTACCTTTGGCTCAAGAACTGTCAAAACAGTGTGCCGCGCTAGTGCATGCTGCATCGCATTGTTTGGGGTACTTGAGGTTGTGGTATCCCAAATAACTGGTTAACAGCCACAGTCCATATTTACAGGTGATAGTTTCGCAATCCTGGTTTGAGCCAGCCAACTTGCTAGACCTCGCCTTCCATACCTCACACACATTTCATTCTTGAGTTGATTGTTGGCATCCGATTTGCGTCAACCTCTTGCTTTCTCAGGAGTGCTGTGCCAGTGAAGCAAGCCAGTGTCCATCAACACCAGGACACTCGGTGTGGAGCGCTTGCACTGTCCAGGGTGCATCCTCCCAATAAAGGGTGAGTAACCAAATAATCCATTTTAGAGTCTTACGTAGTTGAGCGTGCCGAATTGCATCACGCAGTTTGTCTTTAAGTGCTCCTTCGTTCAACAACCGTGTCCCGTGAGTTAATCTTTGCATGTAAGTGGTGTCCCTGAAGAAAGTGTACATACTCCACTTGCTTTGGTTGATTGTCATAGACCTCACACGCATCGGTAGGGCTGTGTCGGCATTTTGCTTGAAGAGATCCTCGGAATTGTCTTAGACTAATCTCTGAGTGAACCACAGCTCCGAAATCAAGAAAGCCTGTCAACAGGGTAAGGTTTGTTGTTTGTGTGTTTGCTAAGCTCGCTAGCCTACATTCCTGACATCTTACTCTTTGCCGTCTCGGTAGTGAATGGGTGATCGCTCGACGTGAACGGTCGAGATCGCCAGACGTCCACGAAAGCATCACTCCTGAACGGCTTGAGCAACTGAGAAATTCATATAAGAAGTGCAAGGAACACAGAAAGGAGCTGGAAGGATTCGTAAGCGACGCTTGAAGGGTGTGTGCTGCGGATTGCTGAGGTGGCTCATCCAATCCTGCCTGGATATTGTTCATTCTTGCCCACCAGGTGATTCACGAATCGAGGCTTACAGCAGACGTCAGCGTCAAGCAGAACGTAAACTTCAACTAGTCACCAACGGTTGGCTTCCAAGGCGTGTTAAATATTTGGACCTTGGTGAAGACTCGGAGGCCGAATCTGAAGTCAGAGAACTTGTTTACACCTCAGAAACCGAAAGGCACAAGAGACAGTTGATCAGGCACAAGAGCCAGTTGATCCTAGAGGCATTTGGGCTGATTTGACAGGGGCTTCATCGTCGAGTGCGATTGCAGATTCCGGTGCAGGTCGTGACTTAGATATCCCACTCATACTTCCCTATAAAATCTAGGGGGTCATCCCTCACTATAAAACGAAACCTTTATGGAAAAAACTGTGGGTTAAACCCCCTGATTTTATAGAAACTAGGGGGGTAGTGCAAAATTCATGTTTTTAGGTAACCTCAGTAGGCAGTTGGGTTTGGTGGTTTAATTTTGTTAATGTTTTTGTATAATTTTTGAAACTTGGAAATTCTATGAACTATTTGAACATGACATTTGCTTATCTTAGTCTATCTTAAGTTATTTTTTTCTTGCAGAAAACAACCACTCCAACGGAGGGGCAGCAGTCACAACACTCTTGCAGTGGGAAAGCAAAAACATGCAAACTTTTGACCAACAATGTCTAGGCTGTGGCAGACATACACAGAATTGTACAGGGGTATACAACAAAATCAACCATTTCTGAGTCTGAGACCAACCAGCTCAAACAAACAAAACTTGGCTTCTGCAGAGAACCCCCCTCTATAAAATGAGGGGGTGTGACCCTATGAGGGTGCCAGAAAACTGTCTCTTCCCTGGAGAGCGCAATGGGAAAGCAAAAAAACATGCAAACTTTTGACCAAAAATGCTAGGTCGTGGCAGACATACACAGAATTGCACAGGTGCATACAACAAAATGAACCATTTTTGAGCCCAACCAGCACAAACAAACAAAACTTGGCTTCTGCAGAAACCACCCTCTATAAAATGAAGGGGTGTGACCCTATGAGGGTGCCAGAAAACCGTCTCTTCCCTGGAGAACGCAATGGGAAAGCAAAAATCATGCAAACTTTTGACCAAAAGTGTCTAGGTTCTAGCAGGCATACACAGAATTGCACAGGTGCATACAACAAAATGAACTATTTTTGAGCCCAACCGGCACAAGGCTTCTGCAGAGAACCCCCCTCTATAAAATGAGGGGGTGTGACCCTATGAGGGTGCCGGAAAACTGTCTCTTCCCTGGAGAGCGCAATGGGAAAGCAAAAAAACATGCAAACTTTTGACCAAAAATGCTAGGTCGTGGCAGACATACACAGAATTGTATTCAATTTGATTCAAAGCCATCTCTTCTCAAATCTCTTCGAAGACTGCATGGTCAAGGACCATCCTTGGCATTTGTAAAACCCCTAACTTTCCAAATCCAAAGGCATAGGGAAGCAATGTGAAGCACTGGGGATCTGAAGCCGGGGAGAAAAAAGAAGCAAGCTTGCGCGTCAAGATGTATCAGGCAGCCGCTTTGGTTGAGACATGTGACATGCTGGTAAAGATGTAAAGATTTTGATGTAGTTTAGTTGGCATTTTTTTTGGTTCTCTTTAACAATTGTCCACAATTATATAAATTTAGCTGCATCGACGAAACATGGATGACAAGTTTTTGTTCCCTATGGCATCCAGGTTAAACAAGCCTGCTTCTGGCATTTTATGGTGCTCTGAGGATAGCCTCAGTGCTGCTGATTTTATAGGAGCCATCTCGTTTTATGGTACCCCAAGTTGCTGGGATACACCCCCCACTCTATGTCACCCCCCCCAAAATATAGTCGCCAGGGGGGTCCATACCCCCATTTTATACCTATAAAATCTCAGGCTAGACCCCTTGGGGGGGTTTGAGACCATCATTGACTTAGCATGGTTTCAGGCTTTCGAAGCTCAAGGGAGCCGTCAGTTCCGAAGGTTCAGTCAGGTTCGAAACAGGCAATGGCCACGTCACCAGTGATTCAGTTGTGCATGCCAACGGCAATCAAGTTGGTAAAGCACCGTTTTGCATGGTGTCCTCTTTTCCGATCACTGGGTCGATTGGTTGAATCAGGTATGCTGTTCGTATGGTTGCCTGGCGAATTACAATTTGTGGGTTCCGATGCTCATTCAATCCAAGTAACAGCGATAAAAGGAAGATCGTCGTAGCCAACAGATTGAAGCTCATGTACCAATTTCATCCAAGACGATGAAAAATCGTTTGGCCTTGCAGCATCATCTTCAGCAGGTCCACCAGGCGCTGTCGCCTCAGATGTATCCGCGGATCCGCTACCAGCAATTGATGCGGATGGTGATTCGGAAAATGAAGACGAGGAACCTAGAAACAGGATTGCTAGACTGCACCGCATCGTGAAAGTCAATCTATTGAGCACCAACGACTTGATATTCCAAAGAACCATTCCGTGAAGTATGTCAACGTAGTCGCATGTACAAGAAAAGAACACAATCCAAACGCTATGATAGTCTTAGTTCCAGGGGGGCACTGCCAGAAGTGACCACGTTCGGAGGACGCATTGCTTGTGACTTCATCATCGTCTCCAAGGACTCCAAGGCACGCACTGAGGGTCCTAATAATGTAGTTTTGGTGGTTCGGGATGAGTTTAGTGGACTTATGCGAGCTTTTCCATGTGGATCAAAGAGCAGTGAGACAATCAACAAACACTTGTTGGCTTTCCTAGGACCAAGGTTTCAAGTTGCCCCCATTGAACATGATGAAAAGCGATCAGGCTGGAGAGATCATTGCATCATGTTCGCTTGGGCTTCCAGCATGAGCCTACTCTTGAGGGCCGGTGGCCTCACAACAGCCAACTCGAGAGGGAGATTCGCACTGTTGAAGAGGTGCCAAGAGCACTTCATCTACAGGCTGGATTTCATACCTTCCAAGGTCTATGGCAGTTGACTGTGAGCCATGCTGCATGGATGATCACCTGCTATCATGCAAAGCCTGGATCCGAAGAGTCTAGGTACAAACTTGCAACAGGTGAAGATTGGAATGTAAGAGATCTCATGCTAGGGCAATTGTTGTATGCACGCGACTTTCAAAGAGAGAAATAAAAATTCAATGCCAAGCCTGCCATATTTGCTGGGCATCGTCTAGATACAGGTTCCACCTACAAGGGTGCATACCTATAGACTACACGGCCTTGAAGGAGCTGTCTCCAGGTTATCAAATAGCCATGAGCGTTCCTTGTGAAGAAGCATTCGTGCCCGAGGGTTCACCCGTCATGCCATTGTACGCAGCTTCACAAGCAGCATTGGTCGAATTCGGTGACCGAAAACTGGAATCAATTCCAAATATCAACGTGCCGTTTTCGTCGTTGGAACCTATACAGCACCACCTCGACAAAGGAATGAACCTTTAACGCTGGATAGACTTTTCAAATATGGTGGTACAACAGGTTGTGATGCTTGCGCAAAAGCTGGAGGTACACACTCGCTGCCTTCTGCAAAGCACGTTTTAACAGTTTGATCAGAGCAGACAAGATCGCCTCAGGACACAGACACAAAAAGCTTTAGGTCCACAGCCTGCAACCCCAATTGCAGCGCCGCCAACTCCAGCTATTGAAGCTCCTGCCGAAGCTGAGAGAATGCCTGAAGTAGGTGAAGAGGTTTTGAAGGTGCATGTTGCTCTAGATCATCTTCCGTTTAGCACCGGTATTCCACCCACAGAAGAGGCAGGCATGATCGGAAAGATCAATACAGAAATAGATCATGATT